TATTTATAATGAATTTTAGATTCAATGTCTGAGTTATTTTGAAACAATTTGAGTAATATACATTGAAAAGTTAAATCACTTAGCAAAATTGGTATACCTTTGCTATAAAATTTTGGTATACATTTGCTATAAAATTTGTACTTGATTCCAAATAAAAGAAGAGTTGCTATAAAATTTGGAATAGGGTGAGATTTTGATTGTCTTATCCTACAAAGGGATTTCATGTAACCCAAAGGTTTGAAATAGGGTCAAAATACTCTTTAAAGAAAGTGACCTCCTACTCGATTCAATCATTATCCAAGTATATAATTCACAAATTTCTGGGTTACAACCCAAAGAACCAACACTACGATTACCATAACAATACAAAGACTACCGAGCATACAAACTCCCAATACGAAGCCATTTCTACCCACTGATTTCTTCTTAACAAACTCAGACATTGTCTTCTCCACCTTACCCAACTTCTGCTCAATCTCCAAACCTTGATTCTTGAGAAGCCTAAGTTGTCTCTGAATGTCAGTCAACTCCTCCATAAATGCCACATCTAACCACTTCTAGATACGGCAGTCACAATCATTGACATTGTCACACGTGAAGTATCTCCTCCCCGTATCTTTTGTGGTGTAAGCCGTGGCAACAAAAGGCTCAGAACCACAGTAGCATGTCGTCGGAGTCCCTTCATCGCACTCAGGTTGAGGTTGGTAACTACTCTCACCTTCATTACAGAAAGCATCCGCTTCTGCTTGAAGAAGGGTGGCATACTCTATGTCATACTCCTCTGATGAAGAAGGCTGGTTGTAGCTGTAATCCTGGCCCATGCTTTCTAAACCTGAAAAAAATCACAAAGTAAACTATTATACATAAGAAAATTATGTAAAAAGATAACATATATTTACCAATGTTTGGTTCGAACATGTTGTTTATACATAAGAAAATTTTGGAGGCCCGAAATAAACCCCATTGATATATAAATATCATTTTAGAGCAAAAATCATTTCTTCCAAGTGGATCAAACTAGAAATGTATAACTTAATATGTATAAAAAAGGTGGAACAAACACCACAAGACCACCAACGATTTGGTTTCTAAAACGTTTTTAAGAACATGAATACTTGCAAGACAACAAATTTCGATGAAGCTATAATCAACCTTAAAATCATTTACCCATTTTAGACAGCCTACTTGTATATAACATTTGACATCATTGAGGATAGAAAACATGATGCTTGATGTTCATATCTTTGTGTAACACTAAATATAAATCAAACCGAATTTCTCTAACATACCGTTATCTTTATGAAATGCTAAGAGTGAAAACCTGTAATCCTATACGAAGCTACAACGAAAAGAGAAAAGGATTGGAAAAACCCCAAAATCTCTTCAAACCCTAGATCCCCAGATCGATTTCAAAAACTCCAAATCGTTTAAAAACGTAATCCGATCCATAAAAATCATTCAAACCATCATGCATGTTACAGTATCTGAAGAAAAAAATCATCGGAGAGGATCAATTTACCTGTGATTTCGGATGGCCGATGAATCGCCTTCTCTATCGCCTATCGTCATTTTTTTTTTCTTTTCTATACGAGAAATGATTTTTTCTCGTTTAATTACGAAACATATACGCATTTCGGGGCAATCAAGCACGTACACGTGGCATCGGAGCAGTCCTAAACGGTCCGAATTTACGGAGCGATCCGTTTCATTTAAGCTAAACGGATTAATTTTTTAATCCAAAAATTCGACAGACTCATCCTCCGATACTCACTGATACCGCCGTTGCGGCTGCCCTTAGAAGACTTTGAAATAAACACGGAAAGCAAAAGCCTCATTGGCTTAAAATAAACTTTAGGGACTGTGAGATATGGAAAAGTCCCAACCACCTTCAGGCCAATCGGTGTCTAAATTGGCCAAAGAAATAAAAATTAAAGGACCAAAAAGTTAAAAAAAAAACCCAAACCAAAAATCAGTCGTTGACATAGTAAAATATGTTTTATTGGTTGATTTTTTGGTCTGACGTGGACAATCTCATTGTACCTTATATTTGGCTTTTATTATTGTTAGATAATTGTTAGAGAAATATGTGGTAATATATTGTTAACCTAAATTAAGGTAAGATCAAAATATTAATTTTCTAATAAAAGAATCTAAACAACTTGTATATATAGATTTTTTTACTCTTTCTCTTTCAATAGTATTGATTAACTTAAACCTAATCAAAATGTCTTTTTACATATTTGACAAGTGTACTTTTCAAAAACAAATTAAATCAAGAGAAATTCTCTATGATAGTTTCTTTTAGTTTATTTTCACAAAAATAATCTTAAATTTAAAAAATAATCAAAAGATGTTTTATTGAAAAACAAATATATTTTTATATTCTTAAAATTAACTAATACTAGATTTTTTTTGTTTAAAGTTAGATAGTGGAGTTTTGGGGTAGGGTTTAAAATATTTAAAAAAATAATTAAATATTAAAAAATTGAAAATAAAATTTGAAAAATAGTTTCAATTTTTTTTCGAATTTATAAAAGAAACTAAAATAAAAAGAAAAATTCGAAAAAAATTCAGAAAATATAAAAAGTGCGAATCTGAAAACATCTAATGCGAAAACAGAAAAAAATATTTTTTTTTATTTTATTTTTATATTTATTATCTATATATTAGCAAATAACACAAAATTTTTTTGCCTCTTTAATAAAACCTCTTTTAGTTATTTTCTTCTTTAAAAACTTTTTTCTTATGACAAAAACTTAAAAATAAGCTATTTTGAGTGAACCCCCCTATATATTAAAAGAGAAGTATTTTAACTAATTTTGCTTACGTGTCATTCATAGGTGCAATGTAGAATTAATTCTCTTAATTTGATTGGTTGTTGGATTTTGAATTTTTATTTATTTAATTAAAGTTTTTTAAAAGGAAACTAATTCTAGATTTACCTAAACTAATTATAGAATTACCTAATCTAATATATATTACCAAACAAACAATTAATCATCTTCAATACATAGGATTAATAGAATTTGTTTATAGAAACAATTAAATATCACATACTCCATTATAAAAATTTAGAATATACATATAAATACATATTATATTATAGAAGTAAGTATATAAACGATTTTAAATTTTTTTTCTATTAATAGTGGATAAAAATTATACATTACAGAAAACTAATAGTATTTTTATACTCACTCACTATATATATGTATTCTTAAAATATGTTCAATGAATGCAAACAGTCAAATGTAAAATTTTAAAAATATTCTATCATTTTCCAGAGATAAATATCGATAGTATAATTGAGTTATCACTTTCAAAAATTATTTAAATATTTTTATATTTAAAACATAAAATTATATGGTATGTCATTTTTTAAAAAAATATGAATAAATTAAAAAAAATTATTATAATATAAATTACAAAAAATCAAAACATTATATTAATACAAGACTATAGTTAATATTCTATTCATATAATTCATATAGCTTTAAGTATAATAAAATTGGCATGTTTATTTTTAATAAGAAAAAAAAGAAAAGACACATAAATAAAAACATGAGTGAATAATAATAAAACCTTTTGTTGTATTCTTCGTTATTTTGTATTTGTACATACATACTTTTTTATTTGTATACCAAAATATTTTTTACGTATAAATATAATTGTAAACTAATTATTTTTAGGTGTTTATACAACATAAATAAAAATTGAGAAAGAAAGATAAATATAAATGATAAGTTTTAAAATTGTTAATGTTAAAGATGCAAAATATAACGCAAATAAAATTTAAAATAAATTGTTTTAAAATCAGGATAAGTATTTTTTGCAGTGTAAATAAACTTTTAAAATATATGATAACAAAGTTATAAAAAAATTTTATACAACTAGAAACATGTTAGTTTGATATATTAAAACTGTTGAATCTCATGTTTATATCAATCTACGTCTAAAATAATGACATCACATCATTTAAGAATTAAGATATTTTATGTTCTATAATTATTTAATAAAATTTACTTTTTTGACATACAGTTATTTAGATTTACTTAAAATATGTATGTAATGAAATAATTAAAAAAAACTAAAATTAATAATAAGATATTTATTTTTTCAATGAAAATCTTGGTCAAAGGAATCAATGTTTGATAAGATAGTGTGAAGATTGGAGAGAATTTGATAATGAATTTTTTTGGTTAGCCAATTGTGATTTTATATTAAATTCTAAATAAAAAAATATGTAAGAAAGGGAGAAAGAGAGGGAGATATGGTGATGATAAGGATTAGAGACTCGGTTATGATCATAATGAAGATGAAAGTGAATATAAGTGAGAGACTTAATATAAGTGAGATAGATTCTGAAATCATTTATTAATACTATGTGAAAGTGTTTTGAAGATTTAACAAAATCTGGTGAAAAATTTACAACCAAAGAGAGATAGAAAGAGTTTTAAAGTGAAATATTGAGGATCATATTAAGGACGAGGGTAATAGAATGAATAAATGTGATTGTGAGAGAATGAGTGTAAGTTGAGAGATTTTGAGATTATTTAATCAACTAAAAGAGAGAGAGAGAAAGAAAAAGAGAGCGAGAGAGGTGTACAAAGACATACAAAATAATGCAAAAAGAGATACATAAGAAACAAAACGAATGTGTGAAAAATACAAGGAAAAACGAAATGAGTAAAATAGAAAAATATATTAAAAACAGAATATCTATGTAAAAGAGAAAGAAAATTACAATATATTTATACATTTATATTATTTTTTATTCATGCAATGTATAATTATATTAATGTCCGCCACCTAGTTGTCTTTAAATCAGTGTACTTTTCAAATCTGAAAATATAAATAGGGTATTTTACTAATTACCCCTAAAATAAGTAGTATTTGAATTGATAAAAGAAAAAGTTAGTGGGCGTTACACTATTTTTTTTTTCTTGGGTCCATTTTAAGGTATAAAACATGGAAGGACAATTTGACAGTTTGCCGCGCCATTCGCATCCTCTCGACCTAAACTTGTTTCTTCTCTCGTCTTTTAATGGCGATCGATTGCCTCGTACTCGGTAACACTTTCTCTCTTCTTCAAAGTTCCACGATTTGGGTAATAAAAGTATATTTTTTCATGTGAGTGTTTTGGCAGGTGCTGGGCAAGAGATTGGGAAGAGCTGTGTTGTAGTGACTATCAATAACAAAAAGATAATGTTTGATTGCGGGATGCACATGGGCTGCGACGATCACAATCGATACCCAGATTTCTCCATCCTCTCCAAGTCCGGTGATTTCGACAAAACCATCTCTTGTGTCATCATCACTCACTTGTAATTCACCCCTTAAAGTTGTCTTCTTTATCACTGTCGGATCGTTATGGGTTCTAACTGTGTTTGTGTGTTTTAAATAGTCATATGGATCATGTTGGTGCGCTTCCTTACTTCACGGAGGTTTGTGGGTACAATGGTCCAGTGTACATGTCGGTGAGTTTTGATTGTACTCAAGGTGTTCGATGAAATGTCTGAGTGAGTTTTGTGTTTTTTTTTTACTCTGGTGGGTGTTGTTTGTCTCTATTGTAGTATCCCACAAAGGCTTTGTCTCCGTTGATGCTTGAGGATTACAGGAGGATTATGGTGGATAGAAGAGGCGAGGAGGAGCTTTTCACTTCTGCTCATATCGCTAGTTGCATGAACAAAGGTGCTTTATTATGGATTTGATCATATCTTGGTGAATGTTTGGATTGCTCAGTGTGTATAACTTTGGTTTCCTTTTGTTTTTGGATTGTTGTTAGTAATTCCATTGGATTTGAAGCAAACGATTCAAGTTGATGAAGATCTTCAAATCCGTGCCTATTATGCAGGGCATGTAAGTAACCTTATATAGAAAGCTACTTTGGACTATTTTTAAGTTTTTTAAAAAAGTATTTATTGTTTCTGTATTCCTTAAAAAGTTTATTTTGTAATTGTCATTAGGTTCTTGGAGCAGTTATGGTTTATGCAAAGGTGGGAGATGCGGCGATTGTGTACACGGGAGATTACAATATGACTACAGATAGACATCTGGGAGCAGCTAAAATCGACAGGCTTCAGTTGGATCTTCTCATATCAGAGTATGGAAAGCAAATACAATACTTGTTCAATGGTGTGATTACGAGCCTTCCTTTTTAAAAACTGTATTTGATTAATGTTTGAAAATGTGTGTTTAGGTCCACATATGCAACTACCACTCGCGGCTCAAAATATCCCCGGGAGAGAGAGTTTCTTCAAGCTGTATGTCTGCTTGATGTCTTGTTCCTTCATCAATGTACTTAAACTACCCATTTAGGAGGCTTCGTCTTGTTAATTGTCTGATATCTGAGTAAACATTTCCAGGTTCATAAATGTGTTGCTGGCGGAGGGAAAGCTTTGATTCCTTCGTTTGCTCTTGGAAGGGCTCAGGTATGTCTTCTTACTGAAATGCCTCTCTGTGATAGTTTTATTCTTTCTCAGAACAAAAAATTTTGGTACTGAAACTTCTCTTCTCTCTCGTTTACAACTGCGTTTCCTTGTTCAGGAACTCTGCATGCTGCTCGATGATTACTGGGAGCGCATGAATATAAAGGTTCCAATTTACTTCTCATCAGGTCTGTCAAATCACCACCGTTCCTCATTTGAAATTAATTCCGCAGATTAATGAGCTCAGCAATTGATGAACTTGTGTGTTTTCCAGGTTTGACCATCCAAGCAAATATGTATTACAAAATGCTCATCAGCTGGACAAGCCAGAACGTCAAAGAAAAGCATGTTACCCATAACCCATTTGATTTCAAGAATGGTATGCTGATTAACCTTGAACGTTGATAAAAAGAACCTAAACTCTGCTGTGCTGAAAATATCAAAACATTGGAATCTAGTTGCTGCTCTTAATGTAATCAATTGCTTTTTTTATAGTTCTTATCAAACTACCTCAGTTCTGTATCTTTGATTGTTTTGTAACTGCTACCTTCATACTCTGCAGTTAAAGATTTCGATCGATCTCTTATACATGCACCTGGGCCATGTGTTCTCTTTGCCACCCCCGGTATGCTCTGTGCCGGATTCTCACTGGAAGTGTTCAAGCATTGGGCCCCTTCACCCCTGAATCTCGTTGCCCTGCCCGGGTAATAAACCTATAGTGTTCCCCTTTCTTAGCATTTCGTTTTATTTTCTTAGCATCTAAGCCACTATTGTATCTCCTTTCTTCCCCCTCGTGGAAAATACAGATACTCTGTGGCTGGTACCGTTGGTCACAAACTGATGTCTGGTAAACCGACCACGGTTGATCTCTACAATGGCACCAAGGTTGATGTCCGTTGCAAGGTTTGTCTGCTCTTTCTTCGTGAATCTTATTTTAAACATTAGACCATAAACTTAAAGTCTTGATGTTATTGTTATCAGATACATCAAGTGGCTTTCAGTCCTCACACAGATGCAAAAGGAATAATGGATCTCACAAAGTTTCTATCCCCAAAGAACGTTGTACTCGTGCACGGGGAAAAACCTAGCATGATGTCTCTTAAGGATAGAATAACCTCAGAGCTTGACATCCCCTGTTTCGTCCCTGCCAATGGCGAAACAGTTTCAGTCGCTTCGACCACTTTTATAAAAACAAACGCTTCTGATATGTTTCTTAAAAGCTGCTCTACCCCAAACTTCAGATTCTCAAACTCCTCTACTCAGCTCCGTGTTACAGACGATAGAACATCAGATGGGGTTTTGGTAATAGAGAAGAGCAAAAAGGCAAAGATTGTTCACCAAGATGAAGTCTCTGAGGTTTTACATGAGAAAGACCATGTGGTCTCTTTGGCTTATTGTTGTCCTGTTAAAGTTAATGAAGAATCAGATGAGTCTGGTCTGATAAAACAGATGTCGGTAAAGATCTCGGAGACAGTGTCTTGTGCTGACATCCATGAATCTGAGACCTGTTTGCAGGTTGGATCTTTCAAGGGCTCTTTGTGTCTGAAAGAGATGTGTGTGCATAGAAGAGGGATGAGTAGTAGCAGCAGTGAAGTTAAGTTCTTGTGTTGCAACTGGTCTGTTGCAGATTTAGAGCTTGGTTGGAAAATCATCAATGCTATGAAACAAAATCTGTGAAAACAAGTGTTCAATTTTGCTTAATGTAAAACACAATATTTCAATTATTTAATATGTTAAACGGTTTTCCTAAATTTTACTGGTAAAGACAACAAGACATTTGCTTCGGTTTTGAAATCTCTACACAAGTTTTGCTCTGTTTTCCCAAATCTTTTGGTTTCTTGTACGTTGTCATTTTGTCTTGTTTAGGCTTCCCTTGCTGGAATAGATCTATGTGTTTGCCTCCCCCTTCATAATCTCCCTTCTTTATGCCGTTGCAGGAAATGTATGATCATGAACAGACTCTCAAAAGTTAAGGTACAGAGACTAACAAAGGCGATGGAGGTAGAGGCAAAGAAGATACAAAGAGAAGTAACTGCAATGGAGCAAATAAGTTTCAGCCATGCGTGTGGATAAAGAGAGTAGAAGGAGACGTCTCTCTACTACTAGTAACTCAAAAGGATCTTTAATAGCTACTGTACATTTTCTTTCTGGAAGGTACTTCATCCATAAATGAGTCATGAAGTGGTTATGTTAAATGTTTTTAACCACACACACATAATTGTTTTTAGCGGACGAGTGGGGATAACAAGGACAGGCTTGAACAAAGAGCAAGCAGTAATCAAAGAAGTAACCAGAAAGTAAGTCGATTCGACGAGCTTAGTTCCAAATTAAAGGAAAAAAAGCATACAAATGTAGAAATGCAATTGAGTACGTTTTGTGTGCTTCTCTAACATTGAAGCATTCTTCTCTTAACGCCACATTCGTTGAGCATACAAAAAAGAATCTAAATAAAACTATTTTTAGTTTGCATATCGTGTGTTTCGTTTTTTTTTTAGATAATTAAAAAGACAAAAATATTTATGTTACTGTTTTTACAAATAAGGGGTAGTACTAATGAGGATATTTACGGATGCGTGCCACTACTACAGCTATCATGAGTCGCTTTCCATGACTTCTCTCTTCAAACCAGTGGCTACTTACTCATCACTGTACGGCTTCAATCATTATTGGTATATCTTCCCCTCCACCTTCTTCTCACCTCTCTTGGGTTCTCATTTTCACACCAAACCTAAACAACTCTCTCTTTAGGTTCAAAGAAAGAAATGACCAGCAGTGATCAGTTTCCTTGTGGGTTAAGAGTTCTTGTCGTAGACGACGACACTTCCTGTCTGATAATCCTCGAGAAAATGCTTCTCCGTCTCATGTACCAAGGTAATGTTCCCATTCCTCTCTTAAAAAGTCTCTTCCTTTCTTCTCTAAAGCCCCTTCCTTTTTTTGCAGTTACCATCTGCTCACAAGCTGATGTTGCTTTAACCCTCTTGAGAGAAAGAAAAGGATGTTTCGATCTTGTGCTAAGCGATGTGCACATGCCTGGTATGAACGGATACAAACTTCTCCAGCAAGTTGGTCTCGAGATGGATCTTCCTGTCATTAGTAAGTTAAATAAAAGGTTTTGACTCTTGTTTTTGTTGTTATTCCTCTGTTTCTTACATTTTTGCTCTGTTTTTTTTGTCTTCTCTCTTTAGTGATGTCTGTTGATGGAAGAACAGCGACAGTCATGACAGGGATCAACCACGGAGCTTGTGATTATCTTATTAAACCGATTCGTCCTGAAGAGCTCAAGAACATATGGCAACACGTGGTTCGCAGGAAGCTTCCAAGGACTTGCCAAGGTTTAGATAGTAGCAGTAGCTTGGAGAGTCTTTTCTCTGTTAGTGGATGTTCAGGGGAGAGTTTGAAACGTAGGAAGAACAAGAGAAGGGTTGATAGAGAAGAAGAAGAAGATGATGATCTTCTTGATCCTGGTAACAGTTCCAAGAAGTCTCGTGTTGTTTGGTCCATGGAGTTGCATCAACAGTTCGTCAAGGCTATAAACCATCTTGGAATTGATAGTATGAAACTTTACCACTGTTCACTTTTGCTTGTCATGTGTGTTCCTGACCATAGTTCTCGTTTTTGTTTCAGAAGCTGTACCAAAGAAGATTCTTGAGTTGATGAATGTGCCTAGCTTAAGCCGAGAGAACGTAGCTAGTCATTTACAGGTTTGTTTGGTTTTGAATCTTTTCTTTGTTAAGGCTCTTAAGGTTGTTTCTTGATTAATTGCAGAAGTACCGATTGTATTTGAAGAGATTAAGAGGTGTAGCTTCTCAGAGTAGGGACGCTGAGTCTATGGAAAGATATGAAAACATTCAAGCTATGGTTTCTTCAGGGGAGATACATCCACAAGCATTAGCTGCCTTGTATGGTAGACCAATAGACAATCATATGTCTGGTGGTTTTGGAGTTTGGATACCTAGTGACAATCGATCAAATGAAAACTTTCCGGTTAATGTATCATCAGCTTCTAACCGGTGTTTTGGGGCTTTAGAAGGTCCTTCAACTGTTGCTGCTTCAATGACTGTTCATGGTATATCTTCCTCTGGAAATTTAAGACAGCAGAGTGATGGTTTCGGCAACAACACAGAGTACAGAATCAGACAAGGGAAAGTGTCAACGAAGAATCTTTGATCTTGGGAAGACCGTTAAGACAGCGAGAGGCTTAAGAGGAGGAGGAGGAGGAGGAGACAAGCATTGGTTATGTAACTGTTTCCTCCAAATCTTTAGAAATGGAATGAAGGTGTAAGAAAACTTGTGTGTATGCAAAGTGTTAGGGCTAAGTGTAAGAAGATGACGAGCTTAGGACAAAGTCCTGTGTTTTTGTCTTGTTAATGTTAGTATATATGTTTTAATGTGGAGGTTTGAGACTATCTATGAATGAAGGTGGATGAGTATTTACAACTCTAAACGGTTTTAGACAGAATCCATGTGAAGATAAAGAGAAAATCCAGTACTATGGCAGTGAAGTGATGTAATATGCAAAGGCAGGGCTGATCGAATTATATTAGGATCCTATTCAAAAGAAAATTAACTCTATATTTAATGATGCAATAAAATAATTTTAAAGTTAATATATATATATATATATATATATATTTGCGATTTCCTTTAAATTATAAAATATGAATTTTTAAAAATGTATAAAAGTTTGATATTTTAAACTGTATTTATGTATTTATTTTTGAAAATGTCTTAGTATTTTTTTTTTTTTTTAGATTTGGACCTTGTTCGACTATCCTAGTAGAAAATGCTGTTAGACGGCGTGTACAAAAGACTTCCAGTGAGGATAGAAAAAGAGAAATGAAATATGGAAAGACTATTTAAAAAATACATATATTATATGAATGGAACATAAGTAGAACTAGGAATTTGGTTATAGGAGTTTATTTTATGTATGGTGGGTGTGGTTTGAAATTTTATATATTGTAAGTGCAAAGATGACACCACAATATAAGTAATACTAAAGATAAACCAAGAGACAAAACATTAATAACTTTATTAAAAATTACCTTGTATACTTTATTATAAGATCTGTTTAATCAGCTTTACACGTCTAGTGTTAACACCAGTGCCAGCTCTTGGATAAAGCAAAGGAAGCATCTACTTCCGGCCGTTCATTTTATCAATTAATTTCGACCACAAAATGTCAAAATTTCTCATTAGTCTAGCAGTAGTTGGTGGATCATAGTGCCTTCCAATTTAAGTATTATTTTTGAATTGCAAAACTAACCTAAGACGACTTATCCGTAAGTCATCTAGATTAAATAAAATATTGAAATTTTAACTTTCCCAGAGACGACTTAATTGTAAGTCGTCCAGAAAAAATCAAATATCTGACACAATTTGGTCAAATGCAAAAGTAGCCCGGTTTATCTAGACGACTTAATTATAAGTCGTCTGGTATTTTTTTTTTTAACAAACAAAGTTGGACGACTTAGAAGTAAGTCGTCCGTTTGACCACAGAAGACTTATCCGTAAGTCTTCTACATCCAGATGACTTATGGGTAAGTCTTCTACGCGAACAGATCTGGAAAAAAAAATCAATTTCATACCTTAAACTAGGTGAGATGACTTTCTTTGCACACAGAGTCTTCTCCAACCACCCAGAACATCAAACGAAAGTAACCCACCAAGAATTGTATGTTTAAATGGCTCTATCAACCATAAAAAATTGCTATCAAAAGCTTGGGTTTTTTGTATGAATATGGAGACAAAGTGAAGGAGATGTTGTTTTTAGTTCATAACAATTGAGAAAGAGAGTATGGGTATCGATATTAAGTGCATTAAAAGCTTCAAACCTTGGTTGTACAAGGTTGTTGGGTTGTACAAGGTTGTTGGGAGTATTCATGGCAATGGCAATGTTGTAAATACTTGAAGATGATGAGGTTGAGAGAGTAAAAAGGCCATTTTCGAAAAAATATTACAAAATATTTAATGGCATTTTCGTAAATAAAATTAAGATGTGGAGTGAATAGGACAAAAACAAAATGAGTCAAAAGAAGAAATTAATTTTGTGTTTGAATTTAAGTTTTGAGTTAATTTTGCAAAAATCCCTTTTTCGTAAGCTAAAAAGCATTCAACTAAAGTTGACAATCCATTTTAATTATAATATTTTGTTGACGATGCTATTTTAGTTTTATCGTCACAGCATGTCTAAAATGATTTTGAATGTTGATGTTTTTTGGCACAAATTTGAATTATTTTTTAATAAATTGGATGTTATGTTTTAGAATAAATTATTAGTAACTATAACATTTTATAAATAATATATTGAATAAATAAAATATAAGTTTTCATTATTTTCTTCAAAATAAAATTTGTATATTTTCATTACTAATAATTAATCAAATAAATTTATCATTATTTGCGATAATTATGTCACTTATGTAATTATTCATATATTTATAATTGGACCATGTTTCAGAATTTTACTATTTTGTGTTTTGTTTATAAAATATGTATACTATTTTATAATCTGAAGAATAAAATTAATGGTAGATGGGTTTTCATGGTTCTATTTGTATGTAGAAATATTTTGGATCTTACCAGTTTTCAGTGAAACTTGTTTTTCATTAAATGTAGAAAATATCTTGTAACACATTTCAAGAAATTATATAATTTTCTTTTATAGATATTTATTATAAATATAAAAAAATATGAAAAATCCATCAACCGATAACTCTTTTTGTTTGAAAATTGAAAGTTAAATAAACATTTCACTAAAAGAAATATTATAAAACATAATCCAAATAGGATTATATAAAAATTACAAAAATTACAGTATATAATTATAAAGTATCTTCATAATCATTTATAACTAAATACTCAATTAATGATATGCTAACTAACTATTTTATAACATAAATGAAAATTATAGAAATTTGTATTTTGAGAAAAGGAGAACTTTAATTTTTTGGTTGGGATTATATCTTATTTATAATTTTATTTAATAGTGTTATAGTTATTAACAATATATTTTAGATCTATTGTGAGTCAACTATACCTACTGACTAACGATAGAATTAAAATTGTATTGTCAACAATAATTTATAATTAAAATAACTAGTCAACAAAAATTCTGTGTTTTCGACTTGTAAAAAATATTTGATGCTATATTTTAACCAAGTTTGAAAAAGGAGGATTCAAATGACTTTTTTTCCTTTTATTTTTATCGTGATAATCACTACATTGCATGCTGTTGTAAGCTGTGACACGCAACATAATTCAACAAGGAGCTTAACCGGTGTTGGTTTGGTGTGTTGGTGGTTTGAAGAGTTAATTGAAGATAACCGGTTCGTTATTGGTTTGGTTAACTCAAGTCAAACCGGTCTCGACTATATAAGTGTTTGAGAAAGGATGTGCTCAAAGTCGAAGCTTTTGGAGTCTTATTCAGTTNCAAGCACCCAGACGTAGATAGCCTCAAGGGAGGGTTCGAACTGGGAAAACAAACTCTGTGTGTTCATCTCTTATTATCTCTTTAAATCTTGGTTGCAAACGAGCGTTAGAGAGTGATTAGGTTGAATACTCGAAGAGTGAGAGAGTTTGTTACAGATTCGTACAGAAGAAAGTGAGCGATCCTAGTTTGATTCATAACAAAGTGGTATCAGAGCCAGGTTCCTTGGATGAAGGAATCAATGGCGAAGATCAAGATCGCTTGTTTTGACGGTCAAGGTGATTTCTCGATGTGGAAGAAGCGGATGTTGGCTCATCTTTCGATTCTTGGTTTGAAGGAATCTCTATTCGAAGCTCCAGTGACTTCTGGATCTGAGATCCCGATGAAGAAAGATGAAGAAGAGGGAGACTACCAGGAACGCATCAAGAAGCTCGAGATCGAGAAGTCGGAAAAGGCCGAGAAGGCAATGAACATGATCATACTCAATCTGGGAGATCATGTGCTGCGGAAATTAGAAGATTGTGCTACCGCAGCGTCAATCTGGTCTGCATTAGAAAGGTTGTATAATTCTAAAACTTTGCCTAATCGAATTCATTTACAGCATAAGTTTTACACGTTCAAGATGATAGAATCAAAATCAATTGATGAGAATATAGATGATTTCTTGAAATTAGTCTCCGGATTATGCAGTGTTAATGTTTCTGTTTCAGAGGAGGTTCAAGCAATATTGCTACTGAGCTCGTTGCCGTCTCAATACAACCAACTCAAGGAGACTTTGAAGTATGGAAGAGATACATTGACGATTGAAGATGTAACTAATGCGGCAAAGTCTAAAGAGATTGAGTTGAAGGAAGTGAAAGATTCAAGTTTAACACAGAGGTCAGGAGAGGCTTATGTGTCTCGTGGAAGACCTGAGAGGAGAGATAGCTACAAAGGCAGAAACAATGGTGGCAATAAGTCACGGTCCAGATCAAGGACTAAAGTGACTTGTTGGTACTGTAAGAAGGAGGGTCATGTGAAAAAGGACTGCTACGCAAGGAAGAAGCGTATGGAAAGTGAAGAAAACGGTGAAGCAGCTGTGATGATAGATAAGCTACAGGAGATAGATGCACTTGCGACTTCAGACCAAAGTCCAAAGGATAATTGGGTGATAGATTCTGGCTGTTCATATCATATGACATCCAGAAGGGACTGGTTCAGTGACTTAAAGGAAGTGTCTGGTGGTCAAGTATTGTTGGCAGATGATCGCGCAGTCTCAGTACAGGGAATAGGAACCATACCACTAAGCACTAGAGGCGGTTCAGTCAATCGACTGACCAATGTCAGGTATGTACCAAATCTTAAGAGGAATTTGATCTCAGTTAGTACTCTTGATTTGCAGGGATTCAAGCAAGAAGGTGGTGAAGGGAAAACAAAGTTCTTTAAGAATGGCAAGCTCGCGTTGCAAGGAACTCTTTGCGGTAGCTTATACTTGTTGGATGGAGAAACAACTTCACCATCAGCAAATGCGGTCACAGCCAAAGACGATACGGTGTTATGGCATTGTCGTCTCGGTCACACGAGCATGAGGAACCTGAAGATTTTAGCGGACAAAGGCATTCTAGACAAAAGGAAAATCAGTGAGTTAGATTTTTGCGAAAGCTGCATAATGGGAAAGCACAAACGACTGAGTTTTAATGTTGGTAAGCACAACAGTGAAGAGGTATTGAGGTATGTGCATGCTGATCTTTGGGGTTCACCAAATGTTCACTTGTCATTATCTAGGAAACAATATTTCTTGTCTATAATAGATGATTACTCTAGGAAAGTTTGGATTAGTTTTCTAGCTACGAAAGATGAGGCATTTAACAAGTTCTGTGAATGGAAGAATTTAGTAGAAAATCAGGTTAACCATAGAGTTAAATGCCTTAGGACTGACAATGGATTAGAGTTCTGTAATATTGCCTTTGATAATTACTGTAAGATGCAGGGAATAAAGAGACATCGTACGTGTTCATATACTCCGCAACAAAACGGTGTTGCAGAGCGTATGAACAGGACAATAATGGAAAAAGTGAGATGTCTTTTGAGTGAATCAGGTTTGCAGGAGAAGTTCTGGGCAGAAGCAGCTGCAACTTCTGTGTACATCATCAACAGAACTCCATCGTCTGCAAATGATTTCAATATTCCAGAGGAGCTTTGGCTTGGTAAGGTGCCAGGATACGGTCATCTCAGGAGGTTTGGATCGGTGGTTTATGTTCATGTGGACCAAGGGAAGCTCAAACCAAGAGCTTTGAAGGGCATTTTTATCGGTTATCCCAGCGGTGTTAAAGGCTACAAAGTCTGGTTATTGGAAGATAAGAAGGTGGTCATAAGCAGAAATGCAGTTTTCAGAGAGGATGTAATGTACAAAGATGTAACTAAGGGCAGTGATCAATCTGTTGAAAAGGAAACTGCAGAGGGAGTTTTGGGTATAGAGTCTTCAGTTGAGATTGTCAGATCAACCAGCGATACGGTTACAGAGAGTCAGGAAGAAGGTGGAGTTGAGTCTGAAACTACAGGCACTACTGAAGAAGAGTCCACGGTTGCTCAACCAGAAGATCTGAGTGATTATCAATTGGCTAGAGACAGGGTTCGTAGAGTTATTGTGAAGCCAGCAAGATTCACTGAAGACTCAGCACTCGCATTTGCGTTATCAGTTGCAGAAGAGATAGAGTGTGAAGAACCCAAGAATTATGAAGAGGCTATGAGGAGCAAGGATCGGGAAAAATGGTGTGCAGCAATGGATGATGAGATGTCCTCGCTAGATAAGAACAGGACATGGGAAATAAGAGAACTTCCCAAAGATAAGAAGAAGATTGCGTGCATGTGGATCTATAAATATAAACCAGGAATTCCCGGAGTTGAACTACCAAGACACAAGGCAAGGCTTGTAGCTAAGGGGTGTTCACAGCGAGAGGGTATTGACTATCAAGAGATTTTCTCTCCGGTGGTGAAACATGTGTCGATACGTCTTATGTTATCAATAGTAGTGGACAAGGATTTGGAAATGGAACAGTTGGATGTGAAGACGGCCTTCTTACATGGGTCAATAGACGAGGAGATTTATATGACTCAACCTCAGGGCTATGAAGTTAAAGGTGAAGAGTACAAGGTGTGCAAATTAATCAAGTCGCTTTACGGTTTAAAACAAGCACCTCGTCAGTGGAACAAGTGCTTTGATCAGTTCATGAAAGAAAAAGGTTTTACCAAAAGCGAATTAGATTTGTGTGTTTACTTCAAGAAGCTAAAGACTGGTGAGTTCATATATCTACTGCTATACGTAGATGATATGTTGTTGGTTTCAAAAGAGATGGTTGATATTATTGAAGTAAAGAAGATATTAGCACAGAGATTTGACATGAAGGATTTGGGGCCAGCTAGTAGGATTCTCGGTATGGATATTCAGAGAGATAGAGCAGCTGGTGTGTTGAAATTGTCTCAGTCAGGGTATATAAAGAAGATTCTACAAGTGTTTCGCATGGATAAGGCAAGCTCTGTATCGACGCCTCTAGGAGCTCAGTTTAAATTGGTAGCAATGAAGGAAGAGGATAAAGGAGTGGGGTCAGAAGAAGAATATCCGTATGCAAATGTGGTGGGAAGTGTAATGTACGCGATGATAGGTACACGTCCAGATATAGCGTTTGCTGTTGGTGTTGTGAGTCGGTACATGAGTAACCCGGATAAGACTCATTGGGAAGCAGTGCAGTGGATTTTGCGGTATTTAGTGAAGACTCAGAAGTATGGTTTGGTTTTCAGGAAGCAAGAGTCATCAGGATTCTGTGTCAGAGGCTTCTCAGATTCTGATTATGGAGGAGATCTCGACAGAAGAAGGTCTACTACTGGTTTTGTATTCACAGTTGGTGGAAATACTGTGAGCTGGAAATCAGGTTTACAACCTGTGGTTGCTTTGTCAACTACAGAAGCTGAATATATTTCTTTGGTGGAAGCTATCAAGGAAGGTTTGTGGCTGAGAGGTCTCGCAGAAGAACTTGGTTATAAGCAGAAGGAAGTTAAGGTGGAGTGTGATTCACAAAGTGCAATTTGTTTGGCCAAAAACAATGCATTTCATGATCGCACAAAGCACGTTTCAGTGTCCAAGCATGTTGCTTTGAAGATGAGTTTTGTGAGAGATATGATAGAGTTTGGGGAGGTAAATGTTGTGAAGATTCACACATCTGAGAACCCTGCAGATATGCTAACGAAAGTGATCCCGGTCACTAAGTTTGATCAAGCTCTTTCTGAGCTTGGTGTTGCCAGCTGCTAAGTTGGTGGAAGTGTTTGACGGTATAAGGGTGAGCTATTATGTTGGTGTCAAGGTGGAGATTTGTTGTAAGCTGTGACACGCAACATAATTCAACAAGGAGCTTAACCGGTGTTGGTTTGGTGTGTTGGTGGTTTGAAGAGTTAATTGAAGATAACCGGTTCGTTATTGGTTTGGTTAACTCAAGTCAAACCGGTCTCGACTATATAAGTGTTTGAGAAAGGATGTGCTCAAAGTCGAAGCTTTTGGAGTCTTATTCAGTTNCAAGCACCCAGACGTAGATAGCCTCAAGGGAGGGTTCGAACTGGGAAAACAAACTCTGTGTGTTCATCTCTTATTATCTCTTTAAATCTTGGTTGCAAACGAGCGTTAGAGAGTGATTAGGTTGAATACTCGAAGAGTGAGAGAGTTTGTTACAGATTCGTACAGAAGAAAGTGAGCGATCCTAGTTTGATTCATAACACATGCAACAAACTTAAAACATTAAATGGAATGGACCATTATTTTTTGTTATGGTTAATGTTGCACCACTTTAGCCAAACAAAAAGCAGCTGCTGAGGCTACCGCGCCTATTAAAGTGGTTTCAAACGCACTCCTAAAGGGTTTGCTGCCGGTGAAATGTCCTTTTCCGTAGCCAAAGATGAAGAGAGCGATCAGAGTTATAACCGCAGACGCCACAACGGCATTTAAGGCTTGCGGTATGAATATGTATGGAAATAGCGGTACTAAACCGCCAAGCACATAAGCGATTGCAATCGTGGATGCGCTCTGTAATGCTCTCTTTGGATCAGGCTTCTCTAATCCCAGCTCAAACCTGCGTAACGTCAAAATGTAACGAATAAATTCTCACTTCTTTAAATATGTTTATGTTTTTTTAGAATGTTGATAGCTAAAGAGAATTTAATTTGAGAAACTCATTTGATAGTTAGGTTAAACGTAAAAACATAAAATCAAACCTAAACGAACATTAATTTCCACGTCCAACTAGATATGAACATCTGAATGAACAAACGAATAATTTCTGGATATCTAAGTTGCATTAAACTAATTAATAGTAAAATTGTAAAATCACTAATATTTGTCTGTTTTGTTGTTGAAAAGTGAGAACACTATATTTAGATAATTTGTTTTTCTTTAACATTGAAATTGGAAGTCGGACCATATAGAATCTTACCCACACCTGGAAAGTAAAAGCCCAGCTTTTGCAGAAAACTAAAAGTTTCCCTCGATTTTCTACTTAATTAGTTTAATAATCCATGCAAACAAGGTAATTGTTATTATTATAAAAACGCGTAACTAAAGTGATTTAATTGGACTAACCTCATCATAAAATCAAGCCACGCTTGAGGATTCTTACGAAGAGCATTAACAACAGGTGAAGATTCATGTGGCTCTACACCATACTGTGCCAGAATCTCTGCCACCTCAGCTGCCTCTGTTTAAATCAATATCGTAAAATTGCGTTGCACCGGATAATTTATTCGGTGGACGGTTTAGATTGAGTCAAACATTAGTCTTACCAGTCTCAGGAACGGCCACGATCTCTTCTTGTTCTCGTTTCATCTCTCTCGCGTAATGATCTGCTTCACTCTTGGCCGCTAAATACCTAAACTCGTAGCTCAAAAGTTATATTGAACTCTTCTTTTTTTTGAAAAAAGTTATATTGAACTCTTAGTGACAACCATTTTTAAGTTATATTAAACTCTCATAGTTGCATCACGAATTTTACCAGAGGTATTCATTGATGTGATAGCATATATGGTTACATGCATAAACATAAGTATAAATCATATTTGCATGTTGCATGAAAGTGGTGTAGGACTACTTTTTCTCATTGATATATACGTCGGATTCATAAACTTTTTTTGAACATTTTCATAAACTATATGTTAACCATTAATTCAAGGCTTCGTTAGGAGTTACCGACAATTATCATGTGTCAACTAAAATTTTCATGAATCATACGGATTATACCAAAAGGATTTATACAAAGCAAGATTCATTTTTTTTTTTTAATTTTCTTTAATCAACTAAGAGTAGTTAGACCTTGGGACTTAACCTTTTCTTGGCATGTAATCAGTTTCGATTAATATGAAAAACGCAGAGCATAAGCCAGAACCGATACTGAACATAGCGAAGTAATATGACTCCTAAAAAAACATGTCTCCGAAAATATTAGTGGTTAGTACGTATATGCATGTCATTAGACTCTTAAAATAATAAAATTAAATATATGTAGTGATCTTTTATAGTTGTTTCAAGTTTCACAAATCTCAGGTTTTAATGAGTATAATACATCTTCCATCAAGTTCTCACATGATATCTTTAATTAAATTAAAAAGAAAGAGAAAATAGAAAAAGCAGGAGAGAAATAGAAACATGAGTTTTTTTTTGTTAAACATACTTAATGTCACAAAGTGGATTAGTTCGAATGCATACCACATTATCTGATCCGAGCTTGAAATATCTTCCGACTAATACTAAGAGATGAATCAATCATCTATTATGGTACACTATGTAAACTATTTGTATTGAAGTTCAACATGAGCTTTCTCTAGGGATACTTTTAGAACTTTATTGTCTATTTGTCAAATTATAAGTAATTTTACTTTTAAAAATAAATAAATTTTAAATATTTAATAAAATATAATAAAATAAAACCATTTGTTTTAGAGAAACTTAATTTGAGATCTAATTGATAAGGTTGCTCAACACCAGAACTTAAACTACTAGCTTACCATGTCGTCTGATGATAACAACGCCTCATTCATTTTAAAAAAAATAGTTATGTGGTTATGTAAGAATCAAACATCATTGCATGTAAGATTAGTTTTTTCAACAACACGTGTGATCAATAAACTCAAAATTTAGCCACTACATCATAATTTCGTAGACGATGTTAATTATGACTATAGGTTAAAGCCGGATAAATAAAAATAATAATTAGATAAACATTAACTAACCCGCCGAGTCCCATGGAGATAGCGCCTGCAGCGACTTCAGCGATACCAGCGGTGAGTACGATAGAAGAAGAGGCATTAGCACCGGAGAGCCCGGCGGCGAGTGCAAAAGGAACGGTTAAACCGTCGGAGACGCCGATGATGATGTCACGGACGACTTCTCCGGCGGTGAAGTGTTTCTCGGTGTGATGATCGAGAAGTAATTGCTTCTCAGGCTCTATAGGGATCCTCGTGATCGTATCTTCGTACGAAGCCATTTGAAGATCGAATCTCTTTTTATTTTCTTCTAAGTGTTGAAACATGACATATGTTTGTGTGTATTTATACGCGAAGAACGAGATGACTGGGGAATATATGCATGATATATTTCCTTTTTATTTTCTTCATTTCCTTTAAATATATTTTCATTCTTCATATTTGTTACCACTTATAAGAATTCTATTAAAAATAGTTACCATAATTTATTTTGATGAAATACATCACTATAAAAATATACTAGATTTTGATCCGCGCTTGAAAGCGCGGAAATTTTTTATGATTAAAAATTTATATTATTGGGTTTTGTCTTAATTTAAAGAATATTTTGATATAAAATCAGTTCACCAAAATTTTTGGTGATGATTGTTTTTCATTAGTTTTTATTTTCAGTTTTTATTTTTAGATTTTGGTTTTTAGTTTTTAAGTTTCTACTTTTCATTTTCAGTTTTTGGTTTGGGTTTTTAATTTGTAAATCCGCTGAGTTACTTTGAACTAATATTACCAACAAACAAATCTCAAATAATCGAACATCTAATTTAAAACTGAAAAGATGATAACAAATTTTTTTAAAAAAGTTTGAAATAGTTTATTTTGTAAATAAACAAAGCAAAAAAAATATAATATGTGTTTTCAGCTTTTGGTTTTGGATTTTAGTTTTTAGATTTGGTTTTTGATTTTGCTTTACATTTTTTTAATCATTAAATTATTTAAGACAAATAAAACAATAAATTATTTAAAAGTTAGCATTGAAATTTATCAAAACAAAGTGATTGTTATTTAAAAAAAAAATATTAACATGTTTTAAAGTACATGTTTTAAATAAATGATTAATAATAGATAATTTGGTTTTGTTAAAAATATTAAATACCTTTTGGGTCTGAAAATAATAATTGATTTTTTGATCTTTTAAGGGAAAACATTTATTCAATGTTTTTGGAGTTTTTTCTTAATACTAAGCTAAAAAACCAAACTATATAATTTGTTCAAAAAATAAAAGTAAGCCCAAGACTATATTACATAAATAACCACTAGTTTAATTTAAGTATAATTAGTAGATTTTCATATTCCATATTTTGATGATATATATTCTTTTAGAACATTCCATATTTGTAGGAGAAAATATGTGTTTTTGGTATACACATAGATATCTGCCGTATTTTGAAGGTAGTTTACATTAAGGTCGTCTCTTTACATTAGTTGTGTTGGTTTAATTTAAGTAATACGATTCAATCAATTATATGACTTATATTATTTGTAATATTCTAGAAAGGGTCTAAATTTAAATGACAACTTGTATCAGTAGATAAAAAAATGACTCTATTTTAATAGAGTAGATGCACACATATGAGCTAAGTTTGCAATATATATAGTTGTAAATCTTATTACAGTTACTAAGTTTTAATATAAAACTATGGGTTTAGCTTCTTCTTTTTTGATTTAACAAGATTTTTATAAACTCATCATATCACATATTCACATTAAAAAACATTAAAAACTAGCTTAAATATTATAGTCACATTCCCATAAAAGTACTATGTATCAATACTATTAAATTATGAACATAACCTATTGATATAAGTTTAGTCCAACAACTATTCCCCTATAACATCTAAATCTACATATTTCTACATGTTACGTGTATTGTAACATCTTCTTTCTTTTCTATATTATAGGAATCCATAACTCTCTTTTTGGGACAATAGGAACCGTTAACTCTCATCTATGAGAACATATAATTTATTTATTTCATTCTAAAATTGTTTTGTTTAATTAACCAATGCCGATTCTGTAAAAAGTATTCTTTAAACTTAGTAAAGAGAATTTCGACTCGACCGGGGTGGTTTGTCGTGACTTCTTTCTACTTAGTCAAAAACGCAGAATGTTGAATTTTTTTTTTTTGTGTTGAATTTTTTTGTATAGTGTTAGTTTGTGTAAAATCCTATTTATTCTTAATTGTTTGTGATTTTTTTAATAAATTTAAGAACTATGAAGAAAATATGATGAAAAAAAAAAAAATTTAAAAAAAGAAAGAAAGAGCAGCTGAATTAGGTTTATGAGGAGAGAGAAAGAATAAGAACATGAAAAGATTGTATTACTCTTGGTTAAATTAAAAGAAACCAAATGACTTCTTAATACTTTGACTTTTCTATTTTTCTTTTTGGAAAATACGAACATCATAATGAAAAAAGATAGATTAACAAAGTTGGACAAAATTTTGGCTGTTTAACGAAGCCCAGCTTCATATTCCGTAAAATAATGTTTCATATTCCGTTAAATAATGAATAGCTTTTCATTGGATCACTTAATCAATACATTTTACATTAGAAGTAGATAATATAAATCCACTTCGCAAGCCCAGTAAATTTATCATTACTTTTATCGTATAATCAAAAATCCAAACAGTAAATGTATAGATGTGATAAAGTACAAAATATGAAACTTGCAATTTATAGAAATAAAAAGTATTTAAAAATAACAAAATAGGTTTTCAAAACTAAAGATATGCATTTTGATTATAAAAGAATATGGATGGATGTAAAGAATAATTTTGATTAATAATTACAGAAGAATTTGGCATAAATCAAATTATTTAACAGAATTATTAAAATTACTTTTTCACACTTTTCACAAAAATTGTTCGTTCTTAGGGGCGGACTGGAGCAGGTCAGATTTAATATTTGTTTCAAATATAACACTTTTAACAATTGTTCGAGTATGTAGTCCATGTCTAATAGAGTACAAAACATGATTTTCTAGTGATTCCAAAATTGTATTTTTTGGATAGTAATATTTTTAACTATTATGTTAGGTAACTACAAAGAAAATATAATATGTTACAAACTTTAGGAATAAAGTTTAAAAATAATTTCTGAAATACATATAGCACAGTGCATAGTTATGCAACTTGACATATTTAATATAATTACCAAAAATTAAATTAAATTAAATTAAATTAAATTAAATTAATATTAAACACAAATATGATTACAAAAATATAAATAATATTTTAAAACATAAATATAAAATTAAAACAAAAAATATACTCGCCCTTTGAAATGACGGATCATAATCTAGTATATACTATTAAAAGAGAATCATTCCCAGAAAAATCTACTATCAAAGGTTATTGAACCTATTAGTTAGAGACTTAGAGTAAACCATTAAGATAATTTATTGCATCTATAACTGGCTCACTCCAGAAATCATAATAGATTTAATAGATTTAAATACATTGTATGCCTTCTAAACAAATTAAATAAATTATTTATATTAAAATTGTAATAGTGTTGGATTATTATAAAATCTATAAACTAAAATGCATAATATAAATACAATACCTTTACTATGAGACATATCAAATAATTTATTTAATTGTAAGTTTAGTCACTTTTTTCTTAAAAAAATATTATAAGAGTTTTCTGAAGTTTTTCCGAGTTAACCAGTGTCGGTTAGGGTTAATGGAGGGATTGTAGGTTCGAATTTTTAATTAATAGGTTTTTATCAGATCTAAATTTTGTGGAACATATCAGCTGTTAGAACCTCTGATAGAATGCTACATGAAGAACATAAACATGTCCTAATCATATACGGTAATTGGGATTACCGACTCGACCTTGGATCCTGTTATGATACAAAATACTGTTTATATCGTAATTCGTCTATAAATCACATATGTACTCGACTAAAACAAATTGAATTATTTGTAAAAATACAATGCTTACTTCCCACCATTTATATGTAGATGCACTATTAGTCATCAGTATTCGGTTTTGATTCTAGAAAATTTAGAACCGTTCATAAAGTTTGGTTTGGTTTCATTAAGTTCGATTTAGTAGCAAAATTGGGAACCAGCTTATACACTAAAAAATTCCAGGTCACATTCAGTTCCGGTTTGAATCTTGTTTTTTAGGTAATTACGGATTTATAGATAAAAATATAGGATAATTTGGGGTTTTCAGTTTTTATTCGGATTCTTTAGATAAAAATATCGGATAATTTAGATTATTTGTAATATTTTGAATAAAAAATGTTTGGGTAATTCAGTTTTTATGTCATTGGTTTATACATAGTATTTTAGGATATTTGGTTATTTAGAATAATTAATATTTGTAAGTATATAATTTATATTTTAAATTCAGGTACCATTTGGTCCTATATTTTCAGTCTTTGGTTTCAAAAATATATGATGTGTTCGGTTATTTATGAAAGCCAGTTCAATTTTGGTTTCATTTTTTTCAGTTTAGTACAGTTCAATTCGTAATTTCAAAAAATATGTTCAAATCTATGCACTATCTTATATATAGTTTTTTAGTTTTTAATTTTAAAAATAAACCTACGTTTTTAAAATGCGGGTTAAAATCTAGTGTTAACTATTTATTAGAAAATGAAGTAAAAATCTAAAATAAAGATCACATAAATAACATCCCCATACAAGTGCTAGACATAGTACTTTTTTTTGGATGTTATACATATGTAGTAGTTTGCGATCTACCCAACGGTGGATTCACCTAACGGTGTGTTTATGTCGATTGTCGATAACGGTGTGTTCACATATACATTACTTATATCTGTTAGATATTCTCCTCGTTCTTCGCGTATACACACAAACATATCTCATGTTTCAACAGCTCAACACTCAACACTTGAAGAAAATAAAAAGGTTTTGGGGCGGTCCTGGTTTGTAATGGGCTGGAACAAAATAAAAAATTTGGGTTGGTTTAATAAATAAGCTAAGACTAATGGAAATATATTTTTAAAAACTCATCATATCTCATATTCACATATAGAAAACAGAAAAGTAAGTAGCTTAAATATAACTAGAGTTTTTATCCACGTTCATGCGGGTATATTTTTCATTTTTAAAAATTTATTTAATATTAATGTAAATATTGTAATATATAATTTATATTTTATGTTATATATTGTGTAAATTTATAATCTAATTAGTGTAGGTTTTTATTCAACATTATTAATATATACTATTCTTTAATTTTTTACT